TTTCGAGTTTATCAGTGCAGTACCTTATCAGTTTGTGATCAAAAAATTTAGTTCATACTTTACGGAGTTAACACTTCAATACAATTTCATTACTCAACTGAACCTCATAATTTCAATGAAGTGAATCCAAATCGAAATCAATCTTAGTGAAGAATCAATTGTAAAGGAATTCCGGATTTAGTTTCATGATCGATTTGCATTCTCTTCCTACGAATTGAGCAATCCAATAGCTCACTTCAAATATTGACGATGACCGAAGTTATCATTCCCAGCAATAGTTGCATAGTTTCAAATGTTGTTTTCTCAGATCGTAATGCTGTACTGTTGTCTTAATGCTGTTGAAATTGTGTTTGAAATTCTGTTGTCTTAGTCTTTGAAACGCTTTCCATAAAGAATCAACATGTAATGTTTTCGATAGTTGAGCGTTTATTTACAAAACTGCTTTTGTTTGGGGGCAATAATCTCCGCATTTTTTCTGTTGTACCACGTCAATTCTCCTATTTTATCGAAGGCATCTTATGAAGCACCTACTGTCATATATCATACTTTATTTTTTTTTGCATAAATGATTGCTTATTATATCATTCGTAATGTCACTTCCAATGTCTTTGATATGTACAGTGATGCAGTATGAAAGTAGCACCCATAATTCGAACACATCAGTACTTCCAAAGTTTTCCAATTACCAGTTTCTGTTTCACTGATTTTCCTGTGACAACTTCGATTGTTTTGATGTCTCATGAAGTGTTTTCCATTGAATGCACAGTGCACACATTTAAATTCGTTCCATTCATATGCGCATCAACATTTCAATGTAATAGTTTTAAAAATACGACATGAAATCATGTGTTCGAATTCATTTACAATTGAAATTGTCTGATGATGTGACATCAAAACAACCTATTCGCTGATTCCATTTATGAACTGTTCATTCAGTTTTCATTCACTTCAGCTTTTGCGGTGACTATAATCGCCAGCTTTTCGTAAGACCTGCAGGGAGTATTTTTTTTTGTTGTTGTTGCGTTCGATGTTGTAATAGTTCTTCCGTAGAACTGAAAAAGAAGCCATAAAGTAAGAGAAAAAAGAATAGTTATAAGAATGGCTGAATAAATGAAACTCAGCAAATGAATAAATTAAACTTTTTTTGAAATTAAAATAAATTAAACCTTTACAAATCCAGCGGAGATCAGTTCACTAGTGACGAGCATAATTTCATCTGCGAACATGCTCAACTTGAGTTCAGTTCCATGCTTCTGAATACTGATGGTTTCTGAAAGACTCTGTCTAAAGTTTTCTCCCAAAAACAACTGTTGGCAGTTTCAGTTCTGTAACCGTCATCTAGTTCAGCAAGCAAATCTTAGCGAAATATGCCACACTGGAGGTTTAATACTTCGTTGTTGGATGCAAAATTCGATTGCTAAGTTTTACATTAGATTATCAGACGCAACTGGTTTTGTGGGCGATTGAACAGTGTCACTGTCACATCGAATCTACATACAGCGGATTATCGAGCAAGACTTGTTCAAACAAAATATACCAAGTTGTCACTGTACCATAATAACATCCGTACTATAGATACTTCTACTTGACCATGGCAATGAAATCATTTGGTTCATCCAGTACAATTTTTCCTGCATTGAAAATTCGTTGTTTTACAGCGTTTCTAACCAATAGATTCCTGGTTATTTTTAGTTTCATTATAGCAGAATGGTGGCCGTTGGCATAGGCGAGGTGGCTTCCGGGCTGATTTTACTGATGATTTTATCGTTTATGGCGTTCTCGACGCTAACCGCAACAATAATTTCAGCCGTTTCACTGTTGATCAGCTATTTGTAAGTTAGCCATTAAAATCCAATCTGAAGGTTTTGTACAATCGCATGTGGCGATGAATTTCTCCATAGGAATTCTGATGAGCACGACGAAACGTTACAATCACGGCAAAAAGATTGAAGTGGTCAAATTATGAGCAATACAATAGTTAATCAATGTAGTTTTATGTCAGTAAAGAGGCTGATATCAATGGTCTGATAAAAGTATTGTTTTGTCTAATTAATATTTCGAAAAGTAGATGTGCGAAACATCACAGCGAATATTGGAAACGACGAGGTGTGCCTGCACCTGAAGCAAACTACATATTCGGTAATGTTCTGCAGATGCAACGGAAAGGTTTTAAGCAGTACGATCTGGAAAACATGAAGAAATATGGTGGTTATTGGGGGTTTGTTTGTTTGTTTTGATCTGCTCTTTGCTTTCGATAGTCGAGATAAGAAGGAAAGTGTGCTAAGATAGCCTCTCAGATTCTGAGCCTACCTAACGGTCGACAGTTGCAGGGGAATGTTTCTGAATTATCCAATGTTGGATATTTGCGATTTGGATATGTTAAGAAAAGTGTTGATCAAGGATTTTGGCACTTTTCAAAATCGCATGGTTAGACGACAGCTTTGTGTTTAGTGCGATTATGATTATTGTNAATCTATACTTTGACCTATCATCAGTTAATATCATGCTTGTTTATCCTGCTACTTTGCTGCGAATTTTGTTTATTTAATTATTCTTAAATTTCTTCCCAGTCTTCATTCATACTAATTCAAGATTCGCAACTTTTGAACACATATCTTGAGATTTGAAGTTACAGCCTCTGGGTATATGAACGTTTGAAACACATCGAAGCAAATGCTCAACGGTATGATAAAATGTGTGCGTATGTTTAATCTGAGTGAGGATTGCATTTTCAGATGGATGATTTTTTTGCTGGTAGTTCACCGATTCGACTGCATATGCTGAACACTTTGAAGGATGCCCATTGGAAGAATGTACGAAATATCATAACACCTGCTTTTACAACCGGTCGAATTAAGAAGGTTCATCGCTCCTTGCTTTATTTATGATCAATGATGCGTCCGCATTTAATGGCATTATAAGGAGATTTGACACGGTTGGCTTTTCTAGCGTCAAATTTTACAGATGATTCCAATTATGTCAAGATGCATCGATGAAACAGAGGCGATTATCAACGAAGCTATAGTGTCATCGAATAGTATTATTGATGTGAAAAGGTCAGTATTCAGATATTTGTGACTGTTTGACAACACATCAATGAAATCTAACAACAAATTTAGTTCATTATCCAATGGTCATCATGAGCTCACTGAAGAACTTAAGGATTTCTTGGTGACAAACTCTAGTACTGTCTTTTAACATGTGAAGACTTACTATTAGTGATACATTTCAGTCTATTCAGCAACATGGGAATGGACATAATCGCTCAAGTTGCGTTCGGTGTTGTGTTGAGCACGCAACGAGATACCAGTTCTGACTTCACTCGTTATGCGAAGAAACTATTCGATGTGTCACTAGTAGATTTTCCGTTACTGCTTATGGCTTTATTTCCGAACGTAACGCGATTCGTCGAGAAGAATTTCAACTACCAGTTTGTTGGGAATCAATGTGACACGTTTTTTGAGGAATTATTGCGCAAAATAGTCAAAGAACGTCGCAGCAATCCACGTAAAGTTAGTTGATCATCTAATCCAGTGGCTGTTGCCCTTGTTTGGATGTATGGCAAGTCGACATTGCCCACACGAAGAATCTCACTAAATGCAACCTGAACCTCAACAACTGATCTCTTTAGTCCTACAAACTAGTTCTTCGTGGTTACACACCAGACTCTACAAGTGATCACACTCAAGAACGGCATTAAAAAATTATTCGGTCGTATCAGAAACAATCAATTTCTTGAGATTAGGTTTAAAAAAACTGCTGGACAAAGAGAATGATAAAGGAAGATTCAATCAGGAGTGATTCTACTCGATTTCTTCATGCATCTTTGAAATTCCCCCACCCTCAGTGGAATTTCCTCTTATTGTCAGAATCACCGTTGCAATCAGTTCGCCTACTTCTACAAGGACAGTATCAAATTTTGGCTGATTTGGAGTTCATTGGGTTCATTGCTGCGGCCGTTCATTCGTGAGGAATTATGGCCACTACAGGTTGATGGTGAAATTACAGGAAAATCCAGATTTCTTGCAACTACTTCTGAATACTGTTGATGAAGGGAGTAATGAAACGGACGATGGCCATCATGAGGTTACCCACAACGCTATCGGTCACGTTGAAAAAGTATGCATAGCGTATTTCGTTGATGGTCTTTTGAAAATGAGGATTTATTTTTAACGTACAGATTTAACACTTACAAGCTTTAACACTTCCTTAGTGATTTAAGTAATTTTCAGCAGTCTTAACCACAAGTAGCTTCGCTTTCTCTAATATATAGATCGCTGAGTCACTCAGATAG